CAGAGTAAATCATGTGACAGGGCTGTTAAAATTGGCTGTTGCATACTCTTTCGCCGGTCTGGAAAATATGTTTAATTAGCTCACATTCAAGCAACAATGCAAATTTCCCAGTGGGAGTGAGACTATTCGACTCTGCCACTAAAAAATAGGGGTGTTTTCAGCAAAAAACGAATAACCCTGGAATACACACAATATACTGAATTTCGGAACTAATCGTGCATTACTTACAGCAGCAGAATACCACAGAAATATCAGACGAAACATGAAAACACTATATATTCTATTTCAGCCTGAACCCTCTATATTGCAATTCAAGGAATTAACCCCATATGTGCATCCATTTCCCACCTTGGTATCACCCACCCCTGAAAACAAACTCTTAATACCACGCTGAAGCGTTTGGTAATAATAACTACACTAACTCAATGCGTGTCTATGGTAACGCGTCTTGATACAATGGCAATAATATACGAGTTGTTTAACAATGTCGGGTCACGTGACGCATACGTAGTAGACGGTACAACTTGGGGGAAATCCCAGCACTAGTATTTGAATTGTTGACCTCATCACTTTCAACTTTTTTAGAAACAATGTACTGGTATTGTGCAATTACGGTACAATCTTCAGTCAATGCCAAAGGTAACACGTGACTCATACAAAATATAATATTCCATCATACTGTAATTTTGACGTGTATGGGTAACACTTGCTTTGGGTATATCCTAGTCTCCATTGCAGTGATAATGGTACATATCTAATATACTAGTATTTGATGCCCGGGCATTATGTAGAAATTCCCTATTAGGAACGTGCCATTAAAATGGATTATGTTTTTCAGGATTGTAGTTATAAATATGGGTTCTATTTCCCAAGAGTTGTCCAAATTGGTATAAATTCATGGTTTAAATATCTGCAATATTTGAACTGTACCCTTTTTGAATAAACATTAATCTGTATGCAAGACATAGATCCCCGCCCGAATTCCGTTTAAATATCGTTAAATTGTTCCGATTCTCCCCAGTCTTTCTTGTAGTCCAGGCAGATATGACACATATACAGTTTCTGGTGGTCTAAAGACTGTGACTTCACATTTGACAAATTAAATAACAAGTAACAAACTAACAAGTAACACAATGTTATCTTGTCTTTAGTTGGTATAATCCACGTGGGTATAATCATGGGTTTAAACAAATTGTAGTTTGGTGTAAATATGGGTATGGATTTTGTCAAAACATTGGTATAAAAATGCACACACTTTTGAAGGTTCAGTGGCACCCCTCTACCCAGTTTAAGGTCTGGTGCCCCCCTGGATTTCATGACGTCACACAGATGCGTTTTTTTATCGTTACTCACCAAGGTTTTTGACGTAATAACAACACAATTCTGTATGGCTGGGATTTACTGTGAGCGCGTGCAGTCAGCTCCGATCATCAGGCGCCTGTGTGCGTGCTGAACTTCACTTAGCAAAATGATCTTAAGAACACTTGGGGATTTCCAATCACGTGACAAGACGGACAACTGAAAGTAAATGAGGGCAGTATAATCTCACAGCGATAATGTCGTACATCTCATGAAATACAAAACGAGACGAGTCACATTTTTTTTCGGTCAGCCTGGTAAATACATTTCATTAGGTGATGTTACCAACTGTTTTTATTTATTAATTATTCATAACGTCAAAGGATGGGTGTGTATAGACGTTGTGAGTGTTGTGGCTATTCAAGCGGACTGTGGGCCTTCCTAACATTACTGCTCAGTCTTGCCATTCTTGTAAATTGTACGATTGAGACGTTAACCATAGTACTACAAACTGCAATGGTTGTCTACTAAATATTGCCGACGATACAACATAAAGAAGTCCATTATTAACGCCATTTGCTGCTCAGATATTAATTGTAAAGATAGTAAACATTCAAGTGACATTAATCGGTATTGTGATATTGTGACTGCACTTAAAAAGTCAGAACATTTATCGTTTAAAGTTAAATCTACGGTCAGTTTTGTTCCAGTTCCGGGTTGGAATGATGTTGTTAAAGACGCCCTTGATAGGGCTCGTGAATGTTTTCTTGTGTGGCGAGATGCTGGCAAACCCAGACAAGGTTTCATTCACCATATGATGCAATCATCAAGATCAAAATTCAAGCTTGCACTACGTAGTTGCAGAAAGAATGAAGCACATGCTAGAGCTGATTCTATTGCAAAATCCTCTATAAATAAAGAGTGCAGTGCATTCTGGAAGAAGGTTCCTAAAACAAAAACGTGTCACATCGCCCTCCACGGTTGGGGGTACCTCGGGTGAACCAGAAATTGCAGATATGTGGGTCGGTCATTTTGAAGCTATTTTAAATTCCGTGAAAAATGATCAATATAAAGCAAAAGTTCATAATTATATATCTGACTGTGATAATAACGGTATTTTTGTATCTAGTGCGGACATTGCGAATATGATCGGTAAGCTCAAAGGTCACGTGACTCTGATGGTCTCAGCGCTGAGAATCTTAAGTATGCTAACTCATCTGTCAATGTGCATTTGTCTATGTGTATCTCATCTATGTTTGTCCTCGGATATATCCCTCCTGAGATGTCAAACGTTATTTTTCTTCCTCTATTGAAGAACAAAAATGGAGATGTGACCAGCAACTACCGTCCTATTGCAATTACAACAGTAATATCAAAACACTTGATTCTTGAGAAGTGTGAACTCTATCTCATATGACTACCAGCAATCAATTTGGTTTTAAAAAGAATCATTCTACGGATTTCTGTGTTTTCGTTTTAAAAGAGCTTATTCGTCACCATAACTCTCTCGGTAGTAATGTCTTTGTTTGTTTTCTTGATGCGTCATAAGCTTTTGACAAAGTCAACCACTGGACACTGTTTAGCAAACTAGTAGACCGTAAGGTTTCACCTTACATCGTACGATTTCTTGTGAAGTGGTATTCCTCGCAATTCTATTCTATCAGATGGATAATTCTGTCTCGCGACTATTCTCTGTATCTAATAGGGTGCGACAAGGGGGTGTTATGTCGCCAGTCTTAATCAATGTGTATGTGGATAACTTGAACATCCAGCTCAATAATACCATGAGCGGGTGCCTATTTGGCAAAACATTAATTAATAACCTTAGTTATGCTGATGATATTGCGTGATCGCGTCCTCTATCAAAGGTTTGAGAAAACTTGTACATGTTTGTGAAATCTATGCGATCCATCACGATATTGAATGTAATTTTACCAAAACAAAATGTATGCACTTTTCAGGACGTCTTAAACTTGACAATTAACCTGCAATTACTATATATGGTATTGACATTAACTTTGTTGGGAACTTTACTTACCTCAGTCACGTATTGACTACGGATTTAAATGACAATATGGATATTGGCAATCAGAGACGGTCGTTCTGCATGAGTATGCTACGTAGATTCGCCAAATACAGTTATCGTGTGAAATGTATTTTATTTAAAACGTTTTGTTCCAATTTTTATTGCAGCCAATTGTGGTGAACTTACCGTAAATGGAACATGAGCGCTCTTAAAGTATGTTATAATAATGCATTCTGCAGACTGTTTGGTTATCCAAGTGACTGTAGCGCTAGTACTATGTTCGTTACAAACCGGATTAACTCGTTTCCGTGTATTTATCGTAATCTCATTTTTAAATTTAATGAACGTGGGCAGAGGTCGTCAAATTGTCTGCTTTTGAGTCTGTATAACTCTGATATACAGTGGAAGTCAGCACTTTTCCAACACTGGTAAAATCAGATGTACTAACTTTTACATTTATTTGTTTGTTCTGTTCTGTTTTGCTATGGATTTTACGATTTGAATTAAAGCAATAATAATAATAAAGACGGTGGCACCACATTTTGCATGGAGGTGCGAGATCTGTTCACCGTCCCTCGCGCCAAAGACGAACCTTACTACTTAGCCCCTCTGAAACGCTATTTCTTGCATTTTGAGGGGCAAATTTTGCTGACACAAAGAGTTTCAGCTTGATTGGGAGCGACTGCCCCCCACCCTCCCACGGTGCCGCCGCCACTGATTTTCATTCCACGTACCATGTTATCAATACCCAAGTTGATAACATTAAATATAACGATAAAAGTTTTCATTGGAAATATACATAAATAGAAAAACAGGATATGTGCACGAAATTACCCAACTGAATGAGGGTACAAGCAACACAGTGAGAAATGAGGAAATTACCATGACAATATAAAATACGTATATTGACAACCACCACAATATATACTGTTACAACTTCGATAAAGTAAAAAAAACGAATAAAACCAATGATAGATGTTTAATTAGTTAGTAGTGAACACAAAATTATTGCGTGTTAAAAAAATTAATAAACTGCTAGAAATATGATAACTGCCGCAATTTAATACATTATCCACAACTTTAAAACTCTGAAATCTGGAATAATAAAGACGATGTCATGTTGCATTTGAAAGTTCACATTGTGTCATCACGCCAAATTTGGGGTTAGTGGTCCTAATACTGCCACCATTCACTAGTGACTTCAACTCACTGCAGATTAATCGCAATGACAATGAATTGATGGTAATATATGCATCGTTTTTATTTTATTAAAGGGAAGTGGTCGTCGCGCAGCGCGTGTTCGAATTTTATGTAAACAAACAATGTATTTTACACGCGTTGTGTACGTCGCTATGAGTTCCATATCGAATACTGTATATATACAAAATGTATATGACTTACAATTTCATTTCAATCGTTTGCATTCTGGGAACGACTTATCAACAATCTTTTCATTACCTTTGATCACCATAACAGTATTTTCATATAAATTTACCATAGAAAATAATTAAACCGGGGATTGAGCATGTTTGTATGACTATAGAAATAGAAATCGAAGTTTTTTTTTAAAAATGGTATGTATTTGTTTATCGCTCACCTACCCATCCTTTAAAATTTTGGGTGGCGCTATTAAGACTGGAGAATGTCTATATGTGATGTCTTTTTATGATTACATATGTTATAGTTATAAAGGGCGGTGGTCGCCGCGCCGTGTCCTACTGTAAAACCATATATCATCTAGGGGTGGAACTACGTCATGTTGCTAAGACGCGCACCACTGTATCATGTATTTTTATGGGCTCTGTGCGAGCTGTTGTGGAACGCTCGTCGAAGAGCCGGTGAAAGTAGCTAAAGTCAAGGAAACAGCTCAAATGAAACTTTGAAGTAACCCTGAGCAACAAGATTTGTATATATTGTTCATATAAGGGTAATCTTTTAACACTGTTCAGGGGAGTCTCAACTACTATCTCGAAGTACATTTTTCTGAGTGTTTTCATCGTGAAGGTTGCCAAGCTGTGAAAATGCCCGGATGTCCACCCTAAGAATATCCATGTTTCAGTCGCTCTCTGAGATAATTCCTAACGAGTTGCTGCTGTTTTGCAACTATTACGTAAACTATTTGATGTTTAGTAGTAGATGTAGGTGTGTTTGAATTGCGTGATATATAAGTACTTAAACGTTGAATATTCATTGATTTTCAGCGCGTTGGACATCGTTTCGTCCTCCTATTTGATTTTAATGTCCGAATGTTGGCGATCTTTTCGTCTTCTTATTTTATTGGAGTGTACGAATGGTGGCGATCGTTTTGTTTTCCTATTTCGCTAGAAAATCCAAATGTTAACGATCGTTTCGTCTTCCTATTAAATAATTCCCGCAATATGAGCATAATAATGAACCGGCATGCCATCAAATATATGTTAACACAATAGTCCATAATATCTCCAGAAAGCTACATAAATTATCTTATCATATCACATATCTGTGACATATCCACAAAAGATGGACAATATGAATACATAAACAATCAACCCCCATCATATTACAATCATGTTAGACAATTTGGAATATAAGATACTCGACCAACTTTACAGAGCGTATCAGTTTATTGTATGTGCATATTAGCATACATTTAACTTTGTCACATTGAAATGAACATGTATATGCCACACAATTCCACCAAAATTATTATTATAGCATATCTCGCCTTAGCAACGTAATTTATGGATTTAATTTCTGATGTTATCGATTTATGCCAAACAAACCGAGTTAAAAATATGACCTATTAAATATTAGCATTTCATAACAATGTTGCAATATTAAATGAAGTGTTTTTTTTTTTAAATCATTCAAAATATAACTTGACGCGAAGCATCGCGCAATCATGTTTCTTTAAATAGCGTAAATAAGTTATTGACTCTATGTATCAGAATATCAGAATTAGTCTACTTACATTGGATAACTACACACTAATACTAAACTACCTTCCTTATTTGTCTCATCACACTGCAATATAGTAAGCTTTCAATATTTCATCTGTTTTACCATATGATGTTGTAGGGTATTCCACTAGCATTTCACACGCCATGCTGATGTCAATTAAATAACAATTAACATCATAGCAGGGGCATGCGTTACCCGCTACGTCACTGCAAGAGAGAACTCTTTGATGTTTGCGGCTTCAGTGGTCATATCTGCAACTCGTAACCGATTACTAATACATGCGTGAATTCACAAGGTCCCTGCTAGGCGACTGCGCGTGACGTACCATCGGCCTGTTTCATCGATAACGTTGCCTCCCTCCGTCAGTCTCGTATTTAATGCGGCAACATAGCGTGAATTTGTCGTGCGCGGTGCATATTAGTCAGCTGGTATGATCATTGCTTACATAACCGCTTATATATCCGCTTTGATCCTAATCTCTTCCTGAATATGTTAAACACAAATACAACTATAACATTGTACCGTACGCAGTATGGGTGTGTTACCACTATACCAAGACCCCACGTGATCTATTGCTAATGGTATCATCGTCAAACGTATATTTCATATACAAATGTTAGCATCAATAACACACTCAAATATTAGGTAGTAGCTGACTTTTCTGCCAATTCTATTCAGGTCAAAGTGTGAATCCTTGCCTGCTTCAACGGGTGAATTTTGCTCACCATTTGCGACAAGGATTCCTCACCTGATTTTCACAACAGTTTTGCACGCACAATTTGAACCCTTGCCTGCTTCAACGGGTGAATTTTGCTCACCATTTGCGACAAGGATTCCTCACCTGATTTTCACAACAGTTTTGCACGCACAATTTGAACCCTTGCCTGCTTCAACGGGTGAATTTTGCTCACCATTTGCGACAAGGATTCCTCACCTGATTTTCACAACAGTTTTGCACACACAATTTTACCTACTTTCGTAATGCAACTAGATCATACTTCGTGACGGGCAGCCTTTAGACGCAAATGTAAGCGAGATCTCGTTGCGATCGAGAGAACCAAGCTGTATTTACTCCACAAATACTAGCGTTCCATTCTCTCATGGTCGCGGCTGCTTAAAATACTGTGGTTACGAAGACCAGTATAGGAGTGAACGTGATAACTTAAGGTAGAGATGCAGGTTTGTGGGCACTTGGGAGTGAAATTTTTTTTTATTGCTTTTTATTATCCAAACAGTCTTGGCTATAGATTGTTAAAATTTTGTAGAATTGTGAATAATGGAACATACTCAAAAGACGATTTTAAAATATAGATAAAATGCTGTTTGAAGGACAAAATCAATTCTCGGCACTTTCTCGTTACTTTCTCGTTCCCAACATAATATCGAGGGTCATTGTGTCTGAGATCTATTTAAATATTCAGGTGAATGGTGCATATAAATTGATTATCCTAGTATGTAAATTGTTGTTACCACAAAAACATTTGTACTGACTCCCCGAGAATCTCTGCTGAACAAAATCTTTGACATATCAGATATATTCAATATAATAATGGAGCTGATCGATATTAACGACGAGAAGCCCGAGTTTGCGTTATTTCTTTGTCTCTCTCCTCAAACAAAAGGTAATGGATCGGTTGATTTCTATTTGTAAATACTATACCCGGAAAGTCGTATTAATATTATTTCATATTAGTGATACATCACATATATCAGCTCAATTTGTCAAGTCCTATATTATTCTATATTTATATTGTGATTAATAACTATCTAAGTAACATGTTACCATAGAAATAAATATTTACATTGACATAATTAATAAATATACTGTAAATGCATTAATTATTCACTGGGTTTAAATTTCGCTATTTTCGTTGATATGTAAAATCCGCTAAAATTAAATTGACGTGGACATGTAAATAACAATAGAACTTGTTGTTTCATTAGCGAAATAGTGAACTTAAAACCCAGTAAATATTCTCACAATATCGAAATACTGAAATTAAATACTAGTGCAAATAAATGAACAGTAGAAGGTTGCGATGAGCAGACAGACTCCCGGGAAAACATTTAAGAGGTTTTAGACGGTCCACTACATCGGATATCACACCATGGAATTCGTGACTAATTTTGATTTTAACTCAGAAAGTTTGCGTTTTTGCTCACAGTTTTACCACGCCTACTACCTCGTTGTTCTCGAAATAATAAAACAGTTATTGACCTAAATTTCGGCCAATATCAAGAATTATTGTCCCAAGTGGTTATTGTCTGACGGTTCTTGATATCGACCTCAGACGAGGGAGATAACTGTATCATATTCATTGGCACAATTTGTTGAATATAATCGTCAATATTGATGATATGGTTTTCAATTGGCTTAGATGTATCTTAGCGTATGACTGTATAATAATGTGTTTGTCCGAGGCTAAGACGAGTACTCATTGGGCAGCCAGACTGTGATATTGAAAGTCAAACGCTGTGACATAACTTCGCTATTACTGATATTACATTCGATATATACACATTATTCACATTCCAAACTACTTTAAAATTATTGATAATATTTGTTTTGAAGAAAGATTTATTTGTTCTACAATCCTAAGCTAGTTCTGGATTCTAAAATTAAGAATGTCGTATGCATTCACTAGACCAAGAATACACTATTCTGTCATATGACAGTGTGTATCATGTCTATAGAATAACCTTCCCTTGCAAGAAGGACATACGAGACACTTCACTATGGTTATTGACAAAAACAAACGTATATTTTACGACGAATATAAAAAAACCAATAAAAAGGTATAACGTTACTGAAAAATCATAACACATGTTCACACATTGTACCGGCTATATTACGGAAGCAATACTATGTTAGTGTGACAACAATACTTGCAATTTTAGTTTTCCTTGTAAACTTCTAGTTCATTTACGTTCATTCCAGTTTAGTTTTGAAGCAAAGTCAAGTCAAGTCAAATACTTTTCGAAATGTGTTCCCATAGAAACAGTTTTTTTTTTGTTAGTAGTTATCTGGTTGAATTTTAGTTTAGAGTCGTGCTGTATTTCTATTTCTGATCGGTCCATGCCTGTTGAAATTAGATTGTGCTGTGTTTGTTTTTATCCTGTATCCATATTTTTTAATGTTACCAGATTAATTCCTCCCCATGTTTCCATGTAGATACAATCGTCTCGTCGATGTAAGACAACATGTATTGTCGTATTACGTCATAGCTTTAGAGTCGGCGTCATGGCGTGGTCTTATCTTCCACCACACGCTATGTGGAAATAATTACTAAATGTCGGAAATAACAACGCACATGTGTTTGTTTATAAAACCAACTGGTGCATATCATTGGGTAGCATACTGTGTGCATGACGTCACAATACGTACTTGGGTATATAAAGAACACTGATCACAACAGTACACACACCATACACAGTAGCATCCCAGACGCATCGTATTTAAAACCGGGACTTAGAGGTAAGTATTCTACTCTTATAGTTTTCATGATCAGGTTCGATAATAGGAATCACGGTTTTATAGAACACCAAGTTACCGCTTAAATAACACACATATATTTAATCACAGTTTTTGCGAAGTGATTGTGTTCAGTATATCGCGTAATTGTAGAGTGCGGATTGCAACTGTTCATCGGAGGAGTATAGATTTAGTTGTAGTTTGTTCACTTTGTTTCGGTATCGCGACAAAATAAAGTGTACTGCGCTCCATGTATGTGAATACCAAGACGCAATATGAATAGGGATTCAACTTTGTGTTCATTTTGTTTTCAGAGTATTTGAAGAAACCTATCCAGTATGACAGGGAGCACTACACAACGCCGGAGAAGAAGCAGGGCACAGGGAGCGGGGATAAATAAATCTAGGGATGCCGCAAATGCAAGAGAAAGAACCCGGATGAAGATTCTCGGTAAAGCGTTTCAGAAGCTCAAGACAACGTTACCATGGGTACCATCTGACACAAAATTATCGAAGTTAGACACACTAAAGCTGGCATTGAGATATATAGATTATTTGAATCAAGTACTGGACGGTGAAATTGTGGAAACAGCCGTAACGTCATCGCATACAATGGTGAGTACTACTAGTATGCCTACATTTAAGTTGAAGAGAAGAGTCGTTAAGATGTGAATCTTATTTAGCGAAAACCGCCCTCTATAGTGACGTTTCAGGCCATGTTAAGTTAGTTCTCATACAAACTTTTCTTTTTTACAGAAAACCTGGCCTTCGCCATTTGCAGCATTTTTGTCGAAGGAAGACGGTGTTCAGGGCGACGAGATAGACTCAGGAGACGACCAATATTGCGCTGCTGGGTGAATAACCATGGCAACGATGACGACAATGCAATTCGTATACACTCCGAAAGAAACTGAAATGACGTCACTCGTACAAGTGACGCAGGAACACTTTCAAAATGAGTAAATATTTATGTCAGCGTTCGTTAATCAATATGACCCACTCTGTAAAATGTTTGCATTTTTAGAAAGTCACACGAAAGATGAAACACGTTGATGTCCTAGTATATTATTATATGACGAGAAATCTTGTGAGCAAAAATCATTCCGTTCTGCGAGTGTCAGTGTAATTTTCCGCTACGTAGTGTGTAATAGAAACTTGGCATAACACACGAAAATCGGAATCTGTTGCAGCTATTTTGAAAACGGGAATTCTAATCTCAGTAGTCACGGTCTTTTCTACGGACATGTTTTTATAATACATAACTGGAAGACAGTGACGTCAAATATTACTGGTCGTTACAGTTACATGAACTGTAATTAAGTCTACATAGGTGAGGAGTTCGTTGAGTCCGGGAATTCTAAATGTCGATGACCATGGTCACATGACCCTCTACATGTAGTACTAGTGTACACAGTCGTCAAACGAGAGGCGGGTGTACAGAAACGCGGACATGTCGATACATTATATTCCATGATATGGTCGACAAGAGGGGGGAATTCAGTTTATATTTGTATATTTAAGAAAATCTGTAATTAATCTGTAAATAAAATATTTGTTTTTAAACTCATAAGTTGCTTTATTAAAAGTTTGCTATAATAAAAACATATACAAATTTATCACAGTAAATCATACCAAAATTGTTGTGTGATAATTCACATACATGCACGTCATTTATATTTAAAGTTTTCATGGAGAAAACATATGCAAAATATTTACTAAACTGAACACATTATCACATGAATAGCTTATACATGTACTATTATTCAAAATTCTCTACATTTTTGTGATAGCGACATGTGGCCATCATAGAACTACATGTAATTATTAACATAGGTCAGCGAAGAACAATTTGAGATATGATGGAATGATTCTGCCATAGAAACAAATGATAAACTACTAAGTACTCAAAACACTTATGCCTTCGAAGTTGTTTTGCGGAAACAATAGTTCGGTGACCAAATATTTTTATCTCAACATGAAACATTTGAACATTACAGTTACTCAACTCCACTTGCTATAGATTT